AGACTGATAATTCAAAGTAAGCACCTAAACTAGATCATTCAAAATAGTGTCCATCGTTTTGATGAACAGTATTTTAATATATATTTATATTTCAATGCTTTTGCATTCTCTCGCAAAACATTTGCATTCAGCTAAGAAACTTTGCATTCACTCGCAAAATATTTGTGTTGTCTTGCAAAAGTATTGGAAACAATGTATTTCAGTGCTTTTGTGAGCAAATACAAAATTTCTTAGGGGAACATAATATTTTTGCGAGAGAACGCAAATATTTTGCGAGTGAATGCAAAGTTTTTTTGGGGAACAGTTTCTCAGGGGAAAACTCATATCAGAGTGTAATGGATTATCAATAAAGATTATATCAAAAATGTAGGGCTGAGACTTTGCTCTTTCCATTGCTTGTTGATCGTTTTTTTATGTGTTCATTGCACTCAAAATTGAATGTGAGCTTATAGTCGAAAGTGCAGTTTTTTTCTCTATTATGACATATATATCCAAGTGAAACGGCTTCTCGAAGTAGAAAAAAATAGGGCAGGGCTTGATTTTGTCCATCTGGGATTATTTGGATCATCGTGGTGGTCATCAGAATCAACATCAGAGTCAACATCATCAGAGAAGAGATCAAAATAAATCATAAAATGTAAACATTACAAGGTGTAAAATAATGTCAAATCTGACACATACAATCAATGATTCATTCATGATAAGATTCATAACATCCATTTCAAAAACACGCTCCCTCCTGACAGCTATGATATGCGCAGCGTCTTGTTGTTCCTTCACACGAGGCATGAAGTCGCTTTCCAAAACCTTCACCCTCTCTGTTCCTCTCTGGTGGAATGAGCTGCTAACCTCCACCAAAACTGCTGAAACCATCACAACTACCGACTTTTACGTTTAAATATGTTGTGTTTAATCTGCTAGAAGTTTATTTTAGGTAGTACTGTAACAGACATGGACCACTGTGTAGTCTTTGAAACGAATTCAGATTGAATTTGAAATATTATTAATTTAGTGTGTAATTTCTGTTTTTGCTGACATTTTGAATGTGTATTTGTGTATTGCAGGTCTCATCAGGCCAGGCGGAGGACATAAGTTTATCTGTGACGCATGAGGACATGGTGCACACCGATTCCAGTCGCAATGTGAGTCCCAGCGACGGCACTGAACTCAACAGTAGCGACCTGCTGTCCTTAAAGAGTGACTCCGTATCTCTGATTAGTGAAACGGCCATCTCATGCAAAGTTAGCACTATAAACGCACAAACACAGTGTTTCTTTTATCTTATGCCGGGTTCACACTGCACGATTTTCAAAGTCGTTGGATCGCTGCTCTTCTCTCACTGCACGACTCTCTGGGGTTCCATGTAGTTGCTGTTGTTGCAAACTACACGATGAATCGGCCACAGGGGGCCACACATTACAAAACTTTTCATTAGGAAGAATCGCCGACAATTTTGTCTGGTCTACAAACTACGTTTCACAACCAAACACACAAGAATTGATACGGGAAATAACGTAAGATCACACAATAATGAATTTGTTTCTGTCAAAAATTGTAGCCTGCAAAAAGCTTGCAGTCCAAGTTGTCTGTACACTGATTTGCAGTGAAAAAAATAAGAAATAAAAATAAACAAGAATATGAAGGAGAATGGTTGCTTGCTGATGTTCTGTTGCGGGTCTATTACGACTCCTCCCACTGAACTTTCTCTTGCTCTGAATCGTGCTCTCTCATTGGTTGTAGGACTCGTCGCGGATGTCATTTCCAGTCAAAACACATTTCACACTGTAAAGGCCCGTTTCAGAAAGGAGGTTAAGTTAAAACTGAGTATGTTAACCCTGAAATGAGGGAAACTCTGGGTTTTCCGTTTCAGAATGGAAGGTTTGTCAAACCCGAGAAAGCAGAGTAAGTCAAGCCTGTTTCTGAAAGAGAGGTAACTTATACTCATAGTCAGTTACCATGGTAACT